AACATTTGGGCAGGGTTAACTAGTTCTATTCTAGCGGTTTGATTTGATTCGCTTTCCAACTTATTCTTTATGTATAATATCTCGTTAACACTACTGTAGTGCGGATAGATTGATGTTCGTGAAGTTAACCCCTTTCCTGGGTAAAGTGCGGCTGTAATGCACCAAGCAATACACGCATCATCATCGTTTTGAATCTTTAGGCACGCTTTCTTTCGTTGTATATCGTTGGGGAGAGGTATGAACGTTGATCTTCCAGCAGACAATGGATCATATTTGTTGATGTTGTGATCAATGTGAGAAACTGCTAATAAGGTCCACTATCGCGCTCTTGAAATTCATCACTTTTTTTAATAATACTTGCACTAAAATTATCATATAGTTCATCTACATTACTAGTTAAAGTAAGTACTGTATATTTTGAATTAAACGAAGAAAGTTTGGTAATCACTTCCTCATCACTGTCTTGTACACCATTTTTCACATAGTGTGCAAATAACTCAAAATTAATTTTGTAACATGTTGCACTCTGTTTTGAATTTTTAAATTGTAAGCGATTGTTTTGAAATTTTTTAAAAAATGATGGAATGTCCTGTTTTACTATAATATACGCATTAATTCTTACTGTTTCTATTCGACATTTAAATGCACTTTTTACTTGCACAATTTTGTTGTTGCTGTCTAGTGGTGCTGGAACAACATTTTTATTATGATTAATAGTCCGTTTGTGACCAAATAGTTTAATTCGGGAATCAAAGTGTATATCTCAAACATCACAATAATGATCCGCCTGCGACTGATTGCTTTCTTCACACACTCTTTTATTTATTTCTTTTTTTAAAATTGTGGATGTTAATTTATTTATTTCTATGGATTGTTGTTTTTCTTCAAATGACGATTTAAATTATCCGTAGCGGAATGCATATATATATATATAAAGAAACCGTGTTAGTTAGCTCATAACTAAGAACGGCTAATCCGATTTAGCTAAAAATTGGTGGAGAGGTAGCTTAGGGCCAGGAGAATTTAATAGGATTCTTTTTTGAGGTGGCTTTCTAAAAGGGCATAAACGACGCCTAAGAGAGACAAAAGCATATTTGCATTATGTGGTTATCTTGCGGGAAGAATAAGAGAACGCAAATACGTGACGCCTATTATCCCCGTCTCCTTTTGTGCGTATTGCTTCGTAGCATAGGCGATGTGTATGTGGGTACGTGTGGTTTGAAATTGACCGGTTGATGTTTTTGTTTTGGAGGTTACTTGGATACTTTTTGAAGTGAAAACTCGCTTTAGAGAACGCTAAACGACGCTTCAGGGAAACAAACGCGTTAACATATGGTTTTGGCTACCACGCGGGAAAAAGAGAGCACACAAATATAATGTTTTCTGTCTCCGTCTACTTCCCTTTGTGCGTTACGCTTTACCTAAGCATAGACGTGCGATTCGTAGCGTCCTCCTAAGCATAGGCGATGCGTGAAACGTTACATTTTAAAGGAAACCGCAACCCAAATCAATTAGCAAAAGGAAATAAACATATTCGCTTATATGGTTTATACACGGGAAAAAAAGAGCACACAAATATAATGTATTTTATCTCCGTCTCCCCTTTGTACGCTTCAGTAGCGCTTCTAAGCATGAACGTGCGTTTCGTAGCGACTCCTCTAAGCGACGTGTGTATGTGTGTACGTGTGGGTTGAAGTTGACCGGTTGATGTTTTGACGTGATAGCATTTTAAAATCATTTTACCCGAGGTGACGGTTCAGAAACATTATTGTCTGCGAAGGCGAGGTCGATCGCAGGTATACGCCCATAACTTTAAATTTTTTGGACAAAGGGGAGAATTTCAAAACAACGTTTGACGGGTTAACTAGTTCTATTCTAATAGTTTGATTTGATTAAACTTAAACGATAACGTAACTGGCCATCTAAATTTAACACTTCCGCTTTAACTGGTGCGCCGGATAGATTGATGTTCGTGGAGCAACGCCCTTTCCTGGGTAAAAGTGCGGCTGTAATGCGCAGAAAGCAGCCGCATCATCATCGTTTTTGAATCTTTAGGCACGCTTTCTTTCGTTGTATATCGTTGGGGAGAGGTATGAACGTTGATCTTCCAGCAGACAATGGATCATATTTGTTGATGTTGTGATCAATGTGAGAAGCGCTATCTGGAGCCCACTTATCGCGCTCTTGAAATTCATCACTTTTTTTAATAATACTTGCACTAAAATTATCATATAGTTCATCTACATTACTAGTTAAAGTAAGTACTGTATATTTTGAATTAAACGAAGAAAGTTTGGTAATCACTTACATAATACTGTCTTTTACCATTTTCACATAGTGTTATAAATAACGCCAAAATTAATTTTGTAACATGTTGCACTCTGTTTAGATTTTAAAATTTAATAAACGATTGTTTAGAATTTTGCAAAAATGATGGAATGTCCTGTACACTATAACTCTCCGCATTAATTCTTACTGTTTCTATTCGACATTTTAAGAAATACTTTTACTTACTATTTTGTTTATTTGCTGTCTAGTGGTGCTGGAACAACATTTTTATTATGATTAATAGTCCGTTTGTGAGCAAATAGTTTAATTCGGGAATCAAAGTGTATATCTCAAACATCACAATAATGATCCGCCTGCGACTGATTGCTTTCTTCACACACTCTTTTATTTATTTCTTTTTAAAGTATTGGATGTTAATTATTTATTTCTATGGATTGTTGTTTTTCTTCCGTGACGATTTAAATTATCCATGCGGGTAAACATAGATCCACATATCTATATATATATAAAAGAAAGCCGTGTTGGTTAACTCCTTTATAACTAAAGAACGGCTAATCCGATTTAGCCCAAAAGTGGTGGAGAAGGTAGCTTAGGGCCAGGAAGAAGGTAGCCAAGTTCTTTTGGAAGTGAAAACTTCTAAAAGGGCGCTAAACGACATAAAAAGAACAAACATATTTTGCGTATATGGATTATCTTGCGGAAGAATAAAAGAGAACGCAAAATGCAATGTTTTCTATTATCCCCATTACTTTTGTGCGATGCTTCGTAGCACATAGACAGGTAAACGCTGGCAATATTATAGGCCGTGTGGGTTGAAATTGACCGGTTGATGTTTTTTGTTTGAAGGTTACTTGAATTGCACGAAGTAAAACTTTCAACTTTAGAAACACTAAACGACACTAAAAGGAAACAAACATATTCGCTTATATGGTTTTAGCCTACGGAAAAGAGCACAAACATCGGCACCTATTTCTCCCGTCACCGCACAATTGCGAATTCACAGCTTCTAAGCATGGGCGTGCGATTCGTAGCGTCCTCTAAGCGCGGGCGTGCGTGAAACGTTACGGTACCCAAAAGGAAACCTGCTTAAATCAGTGTAAAGAAATAACATTGCAGCATATGGTTTTGGCCACGGAAAAAAGGCACTGAAATATAATGTATTTTATCTCCGTCTCCCGCACAGTGCGCTTCGTAGCTTCCCCTAAGCATAGACGGTGCGTTTCGTAGCGTCCCTCTAAAGCAGACGTGTGTATGTGTGTACGTGTGGGTTGAAGTTGACCGGTTGCGATGTTTTGACGTGATAACGTCTTTAAAATCGTTTACGAGGTGACGGTTCCGAAACATTGTGTCACGGCAGGGGTCGAATCACCGGGTATACCCTCGTTATAACGAGCGAGAACGGACCGATCTCCGTCTCATCTCGGGAAAGCGCTGCCGGTCATTCCCGACCCCCTCGTTACATAACCAGAGAGAGGGCGGACCGTCTCCGTCTCATCTCGAGCGCTGCCAGTCATTCCGTGCGCCGAAGTCCGCGTTCCGGTGAGTTGACCAAATCTTGCAAAATACCTACTGCGCTTTCTGCTGTATACAAACGAATGGAGACACTTTCTCGCGTGCGGTTAAAGTTTTCGTTGAATGTTTTTATCGGCCGATAAAAAGAAGTTTGTAGGTGTGCGGGAGCTAACGGTAAAACAAACGTGAAGTGCAGGTGAAGTGTTACAACAATTTGCAACAAACAAAACTTATATATCACGAATAAGACGTTATCGTAAACTTATCTCGGGAGTAACACTTTTTACAAACAGCAGAATTTTTGTTTGGAGAAGGTTTCTAAGATAATTTTAGAGGTGAAACTTTTTAAAGCTTAACATTACTAAAGAAACAAACATATTTAAAGCATATATGGTTTTGCAGCCTACGGGAGAAAAAGAGCACACTAAAAACGTCTCTCCTCTTTTGTGCGATTTGGCAACTTCCTAAGCGGGCGTGCGTGTGTGTGTATGTGTTGGTTGGTGCCCGGTTGATGTGTTTGTTTGAATAGGACATGAAGTAAGTGTAGGATACTTTTTTAATACTTTTGAAGTGAAAACTTTTTGGAAGATACTAAACTTGAGAGTTTTCTCTGCAATATATGCTTCTTTGTGCGATGCTACGTAGCTTCCCATGCAGCGACCAAAACGATCAAATCTTATCCGACAAAACCGTAATGCAACTAGGATTCAAAGGATTGCGAATGAAAGGACTGAAGAAGAACAAGAAATTGCACGTGAAAAGCGAGGCAGAACAAAGTTTGCCGGGAGCATCTAGTATCACATAAAAAATTAACATTTTTTGCACAAACTTTTAAATGACGTATTAAATTATCACTATGTGAAAACTTTTGGTCACAGTTTGTACAGTTAAACATTTTTAGTTAGGTTGCAATAACTTCTTGTAGACGATTGAGATGTTTGCACTTGATGAAGTTTGACGTGCAACTGAATGTCGTAGCCTAACAATGTAGCTTAAACAATATTCAAGTCAAAACTAATTAAATTACCACTTCCACACAAGTATATTTGTGGTTTCCATTCTTATACGAAGTTAAAAGGAAGTTTTACCACACACAAAATAAAAAACGGTTATTTTTTATACGAAAAATAACATTTCTATGATTTTGTAGAGGAGGAGGAGGAGGAGGAGGAGGATCAAACTCTAGTAATACAGTCGTATAAAATTCAAAACCATTTAGTTTTTATTTAAAGCTTTGATCAGTCGGTTTGAATTGGTTTAACATGTCTGAAAATAAACAAGTAGTAGCTGCTGAGGGTGCATCAATATACACCATTAACCAACACATAAAAATTTCTGTTGGTTTTATTAGCAAACTTGGTTTTTATCATGGTGTTTTACTCGATTTTACCCTTGGAAAAGGAATATAGCAACAACAACTGGTTTTTGAACCATTAGAATGGAAAACATTAATCAATTACAAAGAAGAGATTTGCAATTGTGCTAAGAAACGTGTTAGGGTATTAAGTCATATCATAATACCTAAAAAGAAAAAAATGTGAACACTGCAATAGTTAAAGAAAACATTATAATACACAGCAGTAGAGAAAAAAAAAGATGGTGGAAAAACTGGAAACAATACAAACCATTAATGTATGTTCAAATTTTAAAACTATTTTTGCAAAGAAAAACGCACACTCTTCTTTTGCTACAAAAGTGATTATTATGGAAAAAGAAGAAACGAGCATAACGTTTAGCACAAAAGAGATAATAGCAATACTAAGCTTGGATTCATTAATTGAATTTCGAATGGCACGTCCGGAACAAATGAAATTCTATACTTTTTATAATAATTGTATTACCTATGTTATGGAACAACAAGAGCAACGTAAAGATGAAGATCCAATTAGAGATATTTTGGTACCTGCTCTTCAACCACAATTAATAACAATGAGTGAAGAAAATAATACTACTACTACTGGTAATAACACCAATTTATACTTTTAGAAAGACGTTAGAGAGTATAGCTCTGGTGGAATAAAATTAAGTAACAAAAATATACAAAAATTATTAACTTTAGGATATACTCTGAGATAATAAACTTTCAACATGAGCAGTAGCGAATTAAGCATTTTAGAAAAATTGAGTTCTGATGAGTCAATTACGAAAGAACAATATCACACATATCAACCAAGAACAAATAATTTGAAAAAAAATGATGAAATTCGTATTTTAATTCAACAACACGATCAATATAGCAAACCATATGAAAGCTACTTGTACATTCAAGGAGAAGTTGTATTACCCGAGGCAACAACACAAGACCCAACACCTTCGGCTACCTTATTAAAAAATGCTTTTTGTTATCTCTTTCAAGAAGCTAGGTATGAAATTAATGGTGTGGAAATTGATCGAAATCAGGATGTTGGCACTACGACTACAATTAAGAATTACTTATCATGTAAACCAAACAATTATAACAACATACTCTTTGGCTGGGAAAAATCGGGTGAATTAAGTTTGTATAATAATACCAAGCGGACATTTTATGCGCAAATTCCATTAAATAAACTATTTGGTTTTGCTGAGGACTATCGCAAAATTATTGTTAACGCTAGACAGGAATTAATATTGTTAAGGTCAGCAACGGATAAGAATTGTTATGTTGAGAGTGCGAATGTTGAGATAAACTTATCTAAAGTTGAATGGCATATGCCACATGTTGAATTGAATGACTCATCACGCATTCAGTTCCTAAGCATACTTAAAGCGGATAAGCCATTATTAGTTCCGTTTCGTAAGTGGGAATTGCATGAGTTGCCAGCATTGAAAAACACTAGTAATGATATTTGGTCGGTTAAAACCTCAACATCTCTTGAAAGACCGCGATATGTAATTGTTTGTTTTCAAACTGATAAGAAGAATAATCATATGCAAGATGTAACCATCTTTGATCATTGTAATATTAGAATTATGAAAGTATTTCTAAACTCTACATCATATCCATATGATAATATGAATTTAGACTTTGAAAATAATAATTACATTACGGCATACAATAACTTTTTAAACTTTCTACCAAGTTATTATCAAACGGAATATAAATCGACAACATCAAATTTAACATATGCTGATTTTAAGAACCATACTTTTTATGTTTTTGATGTTACAAAGCAAAACGAGAGTGTTAAAACTTCAACGATAGACTTGCAAATTGAAATGGAATCCACAAAAGTATTTCCAGCAAACACAAAAGCATTTTGTCTTATTCTGTTTGATTCCATTGTGGAGTACACACCGTTAACAGGAATTGTGCGCAAAATAGTTTAAGCTTTTCAACAAGAAATATGTATTCAACTTGTTGCTGGAAAAAAACACAAGTAATAATACAAAGACAACAACAACAACCACAATCATAAATAAAGAGATTTGATCCTCCTCCTCCTCTACAAAATCATATAAATGTTATTTTCGTATAAAAAATAACCGTTTTTTATGTTAACAAGTGTGTGGTAAAACTTAGTTTCAATTTTGCATAAGAAAGGAAACCATAAATATACTTGTGTGGAAGTGGAAATTTAATTAGTTTTGACTTGAATATTGTTTAAGCTAACTTCATCATGTGCAAACGTCTCAACCGACAACAAGAAGTTATTACGACCTAACTAAAGTTTAAGCTTTTCAACAAGAAATATGTGTTCAACATATGTGTTGTTGCTGAAAAAAAAACACAAGTCACATTACCAGACAACCACTACCGCAATCATGAATAAAGAGAAAAAGATTTTATTTATTGATATGCAAGGTTTTGATGTACCATCTTTTACACCTAAAGAAATAGCGTTTACGTACGATGAAGTGCAAATCCTACACCTCGTTTTGAAACGCAACTACCAAGGGTTTGAGAATGTAAAAATTAAACACACAATTCGTTGGGTGGAGAACAACCATCATGGTATTTCTTATAACAGTGGATATATTAAATATGAAATTTACCAAACATCTTTGCATTACATCCAGCAAATATTGTTTTCCAAAAAGGAGCACAAAAGTTGGATCTTTTAAGAACATACTATCAAAATATAATTAACTTGGAATTTATTATTAATTGTCCCAAGTTTGAAAAGCAATTAAATTCATTTTGTTTTTATCACAATAAACTCGAGGTTAAATATGTAAAATGTACTTGCAAAAAATAAATGTAAAGTGATATTTATTGTAATTATGCACAATATGTGCATTTATATTAATTTTTTAATCAAAATATTGTTTTTTATTCGTTTATTAATATATTAACATTATCATAAATTTCTTCTTCTGCTTCCTCGTCTTCTTCTTCTTCTTCTTCTTCTTCAATGGTTACTTGAAAAAGCGGTTGTTGGTAACAAAAACTGCACCAAAACTCACTATTGCAATAATATTACATAGGTGATTCAGGTACATATGAGTTAATTCTTAGCTGCATCTTTTCAATTAAAGTTTGTGTTAATTTTAATTTTAATTTCGCTAACTTGTAACAAGAAACACAACACCGAATATCCCAATCCGGTATATAAACAAAAAAGTATTCAAATTTTAGTTCTGCATTTGCAGGATAAATATCCCCCTCAATTCTTTAGTTGTAAAACGGCATAAAAATCTTGTTTACTCTCAATATAAGCGTCAGTTGATAAATTTGGCGTATTGTCCATAAATATCCTAAAATCGAAATCATTGCCTAATCGATCAACTTGTTTAAAAATATTTTTCCATTCGCTGGACGCATGCTTTCCTGATATTTGCCACTGCGGTATTCAAGGTTGAAACTATGGCCTGCAATTTTAATTTTTCGGCTTACCCTGAAATTCGCCGCTGAATCCCAGTATGCTGATTTCATTTAAATTTGGGGACTCCTTCAGTAATTTTATTTGGGTTTCTAATAATTGTTGCAGCAGTGCACTTTCTTAGTGAGTCGGGGGAAAACATGATGTGAGTTTAACAATACACGATTATACTACGATTATAAAATATCGTTTTCAACGCAAACATTTTTATTTTTTCATATTTGGTAGAGTATATGCGATGGTGGTTAGCGTAATCGAGTCCAGACAAGTCATTTCCCTGAACCCTGGTAAACACGCGTGTTCGGGAAGGCAAATTGGGGTTTGCCGTAATTAAACATTACAAGTCAAATTTAACGTTAAAGGAAATTTGTGGTAAAAAACGTTTAAGCAAAAGCGAACACGTCTGTGCTTCGAAATTATATTAGTTTTAGATACCTATGTTTTTGCTGCATTTCATATATAAAACAAAAACACAAAACAATTTATTGTTGGTGTTAGTCAAAATGTCAGTTAAGTCAATCGGCGGTGTTTACATTGGGGACCAAGGTCCCGCAATTATTGGCTGCTTGCCCTTCTTGCAATGAAAGCAACATCAAAACGGTGATTAAAAATGAAACATCATTCAAAACACACATACTTGCATTACTGTTATGCATAGTATTCTTTCCATGTGTATGTTTTCCATATCTAAACAACACATATAAAACCACCAATCATTACACATTTAAAGCATCATATACGACCCGACGATTTGGAAAAGATGTGGAAATGGTTACCTGAAGAATATCGCAAAATCGAAGAAATTATTGCACTACTTCGTATTTTCAGAACATTGACTACAGGCCAAGGTTGCATGCGCGTTCACATCGATGGGCCAGCACCCAGCAAGAAGAATTGTAGAAGATGTAAAATTAATGCTGTAAACGCAAACAAATAAAGAATGCATTTAGTCTCAAACTAACAAAACTGTTTTTTTATTTTATATAGTTGTATACATTTTGAATTTTTTCAGTTAATCAGATTATGAACACATCCGGTAAACCAACCGTTAATTGATGTGGTTATGATCCAATACTATTAGTATTGTTTACTTTTATGATTAAATGAATTGAGGTTTACCATAATTAAACTAGTACAAGTCAAATTCAACGTTAAAAGGAAATTGTGGTAAAAAAACGTTTAAACAAAAACTGAACACGTCCATTAACTGAAATTATATTAGTTTCGATTCATCCACGCTAACTACAAGACGTGCACAAAAATGAGTTTAATTATAGCAAAACCAAGTAAGTAGAGTTGCTGGAACAAAATTTCTTCCGACAAACAAAATTAATCAACTGTCAATTAACACACCATACACCATCACAAAATGTAGATGGATAAATACGAAATATGGTAGAAGAATTGTCCTGCAATTAGAAGGCATACAAGAGGTCATACTTCTAAAGGTTTACCAGGACCAAAGTACACCAATGTGTAGAAGAGTTAAAACAATTTATACATTAAACGGTTAATGTATAAGGGAGCCTCAAAAAGATAGGGCGCGCTTTGCGACCTTACATCCGAATTTGTCGATTCTTAACTTCAACGTAGTTTTGGCTAGCCACTTTTTATTGGTTAAATATATAATCTAGCTTTTCTTTGCGCCTTTATTTTTTGCAGAACTTATAAGGAAACAACACAATTGTGCGAAATTTATGATATATAAAACAAAAAATGTATCATAATATAAACGTTAATTTTTGCGAAATAAGTGCTTAGCAAGATTTTGTGAACATTTTTTGTTATTTCTTTTTAACTCTTTACAGCTATACATTTTGTAATATTAAAAACATCGTTCGTCTGAAAACACTTAACAAAATCGCTTTATTTATGGCGCATGTTACTCATTCATTCAGGATTCACTCATGTCATCTACTCACTAACGGATTGCCGCATGCTTCCTTCAACGTTATCAAGACCTGGCGCCTAGACTCCTACTACCGATACCGACACCTCAGTTACAACCCTCACCGCCAGGCAGACGAATACTCCCACAATCGTCGCAAAGAGAAGCAACCGCCGTCCAAAATGAATTCTATATCTAAGACCGCAACATCCCAGTCCAACAAAATGGACACAGACACACCAATACTAGAACAAGTGAAACTTCACTAAACTCACTAGATCTATGAACGTGGAGGTATGACATTTGTCAGTTGGCAGATCGCGAATGATCGGCAATATTCGGTTATGACAGTTGACAGTCGCGTGAATTTGAATGTTTAAACAGTTTTAAAGTTAGTTGCATATGTTTGTATATGAATCGCGTCTGATTTGGTTTAAAAACGCAAAACTTGAAGGTTCAATCATAATTAGAAATTCAGTTACAATTTAGTCACAATTTAGTTGTCGAACTTAACATCAAAAAACTACAAAATACAACACAATGGCTTCTTCCCAAGAACAAGACTTTGACTTCTTAATCGATGAGTTTTTGCAATCCATCAAATGCAATCAAATGATTAGCGAAAAAAAGAGAGACGACATCGACGCCAATTTGCAAACAACAACAACAGCAGCTGAAGAGATTCATGACCGTCCAGCAATAATTTTCCTTGAGAATATTGAGAACATCGGCGCCAGCAATATACAAACAACTACAAAACAGCAGAAGAGATTCATTGTCGTCCAGCTTAATAATTTTCACCAGAATAGTGAAGAGAAAACATCGACGCTGGCAATTTGCAAACAGAAGAAATCCATGATATTCATGCCAACTCCGAAATTTTAATTAATAAAATAGTTTGCGCGTTGGGAGAAAGAAATCTGGCAATTTCCATTGGGTTGCTTTTGGGACAGGGAACTTCACACCAACTATTAAACTGTGGAGGAAAAAGAAAAATGAACTGGCTGTTTAATTCAGCGAATGGTATACTTAAATCCAAATTTGAAGAATGACGATGTATTTTAAAATAAGAAACAAAAGACGAGAATCCTGATGCATTAGAGTTTTGCTCAAGTTGCAGGACAAAAAATCAAGAAACGAAATCAACTTGTGACTTTACATAATAAAAGTGATTCGGAGCATTTATTCAATTACAAATTTGTTCAATTTGAGTTGTGTCTAAAGAAAAAGACAAAAACAGTGATAGTGCGTCAAGATAAAAATAGTGTTTCGTTCACTGGCAACGAATTTGATAAACTAAAAGCAATGTTGGAGTTAGTTGAGAAACGCTTGGACAAATTAATAAAGATAAATTTTAAGTTAATTTATACAGAATTTTTATGTTACGTAGAACTGCAAGACTATTGTCACACAATATTAATGAATCCTAAATATTGCAAAGACGAGATAAAGAATAGTTTTATTAAATTTTTGTTAAATAGTGTATACGAACATAAAATTGAAATTCAAGAAATTTTTATGGAATTGTTTGCGTCTCATTGAATAGTGGGAGACTTTTTAGTTTGATTGCTTATCATTGGGCTTAGTATATTTTAGTGAGTTTTGAAACGAATTATTCATTTCTTAATCATGGAACCTGTTGGTAAGTACAAGTCTAACGTTTAACTCTGTGGTACAAGTACAGTTTGAAAGTAATTTTTTTCCAGATCGCATTGTAGTGTACATAATTGAGGAGTTAAAGCGTAACTATGGAAATACGTTGAAGGAGTATGTAAGTGTTTTTTTTTATAATTTATTTTTTATTTTTTTTTTTTCTGTTAGGTTGCTATTATATTCCTTAAAGACGGTCGGGCTCCTCAGTCAGGGTCCGACCCGTTCTTCTTGGAACCGAGGACAAATTTATACTACTGCCTTCATCACGAAGAGCAGATTGTATATGTTAGGGGGGCATCATGCTATTCGCACATAATACCATTTTAGTAAGTTTTTCATTTAGTTCTTTATTTATTTATTTTATTTATTTATTTTTTTTTCAGTCATCTACAGTAAGAAGTTTTTCTTGTTTGATTAAATAAAATAAATTTAAAAATAAAATTGTGGGATTAAAATAAAAAAAGAATGTTGTTGTTGTTAATTTTATTTCTATTTCAATGTAAATTGTATTAACATAAAATAAATAAAATAAAATGAAAAGAATGTTATTTGTTACTTTTTATTTCTATTTCTGAATAGTAAATAGGGGTTGACATATACACAAATTGCACCAACTCTCTTCTTCCCTAATAAATTCAGCTAGCAAATAAGTACTGAATGAGATTGTTTCTACTCTTTTACAGATTACATTAATATTGCTAAAAATATTATGCTTGTTAAGCAATTTATAACAATTTTCACACAATCTTATCCTTCCACATTTTTCGGCATAAAAATCTAGATGAACTTTTACAGAGTTACAATTAAATACATCAGCCCAATCATTAAAATAAAGAATTTGTTTAAAATCTACTTCAGCTTTAATTTTACAGCAAATCATCTGAGTTAGATCTGCATGTTGCACCCAACGCGAATGAAACTCATTGCAAATGTTGTTAACGTAATCCCAAATGTTCTTCCATCTCACATTATGAAATTCCATAATGAAATCAATAATTAATGTTTTTGGTAATTCGTTTGTCAATTTTAGAACATCATCCTCAGTGCGAATCATTTGTTTTTGCACTAAAGATATACAAATGTTTTTTAAAGTTTGCATTTTTTTTTAATTTCCAATTATGACTCTAAAATTAAAAATTAAAATAAATCTATATATATAAAAATGAAACCCGTTTCGCGTGGTCAAGCCATCACATGAAAACGGCTAAACCGATTTGGCTGATTTTTTTTTTGGCAGTTTTCTAATACTCTGTAGAAGGTTCTTACGGAAAAAAATATTAGGAAAATTACTCAGAAAGATTGAAAAAAAATAAAACCCGTTTCCCGTTGTTACGCCATCTATGTGTGAGATTTCAGAACGCATATACAAACTTCGCATGACTTATTTAGTAAGCTGTGGTAATTTGTGACATACCCGCCGCGCCAACAATATTGACCGGTTGATGTTTTTGTTTGGAGGAGAAAAGTCGCTTTCTCTGTCTGTCCCTTTGTATGCTTAAATCTTTGAAACTACGCAACGGATTTTTCACATTTACATTTACAAAATATATTAACATTATTACATATTATATTAAAAATAAAATAAAATAAAATTGAACAAATGTATTACGAATATAAATATAAGAACATTATAACAATATTTAGCGAAAGGATTGCAAATAATAAAGCCAAGTTAATTTTTGAATAAATCATTGCTTCATGGATTTTTTTTTCATTTTCGTTTTGTACTTTTAGCGTACTTTGTTTTACACCATTTTTGACTATTACTGTTGGTTCTCCTTGATGATTACTTTTTTTCAATTCATAATCTTGTATTTTCCAAAAGATGGATTGCCAACCTTTGAGTTGATAAACACTTCTATTATTAAATACATATTTAACTTTATAGTTAAGATAATCAGGCGGTGAATCAGTTTCAGCAGTTAGGGAATATACACATTTTCCACCGGTCAATGCTGAATCCTCAATCTTCATCGCACGCCATTTGGTTGGATACGAATTATTGTAGAAATTATTATGATAATCAAGCGCAACGTAACATTCGCTAACATTTTCAGGTGTTGGGGAATACCGGATTCACTACAACGCAGTAAATTTGGAATGTTATCATTGATAAGTGGTCTCGCTGCTACCTTAAAGTGCTTTAATACAATTTTTCCCGCGCAGGCTCTCAACGACTCTGCCTACCTGTGACACAAATTAGACGAGCGGCACGGTCGAACACAATTACGGGATATTCGCAATTAGAGAAAAGGGCAAAAACAAAAAAAGAAAAATTGCACATTTTGTCTTGTTTTTGGTCCTTTTATCCCATGAGATTAAATTATTTTAAATTCCTATCTAATGCAGAGTTTTCCAATCTTTCATAATTTTCAATCCGTTGGTCGATATCGCTTTTAGTTTAAAAAATATGCACTATTATCATTTATTGACTCCAATATGTCAAGAACGTTGATTTTTCCTTGTTAATTTAGTTATATTGCAATTAATCGCAATTGTCTAGGTGAGTCGCATTTGATTTACCATAGCAGGGTGCCGATAGAAGTGACTCGTGTTCAAGGCAATATGTACTGCATACAAAAGTGGAAACACGTGGAAACATTAATTATTGAGTATAATAGTCTAAATTGTGAAACTTGTATCTGTCGCATTCATAGATGGCACTAGGATACACTAAAAATCATAAAATCGAGTTATACGGCTTATTTTTATATTTAAACTTTATAACTTTCTTCATCTATATTGCATACCGTAATTCTTCATCCAAAATTCCCAAAATTCCTAATGTCTTTTATTACCTTATCATATACTACCCTTGAAAACCTAATCCCAGAGTCGGACGGTTTGGCACGCTGTATCTAGCGTGCGGTCAGTAGCAGATGGTCCGGCTCGGATTCCCAAAATCCGACGGTCAACTTTCCTCTCTCTTCAATGTCACACACTTTCTTCTACCAATCAAATCTATCGCTTTCTTCCTACTTCCAAATTTCTTGTCACCACCCATCAACTTGAAGGGTTGCTGGTGAGTGACAAGGGTGTAGGAAGATCAGTTCTTCACAACACTTTACACTTCTTGACATTACTTCTACTCTACACTTCTTCGAGACTTCTTAACTATCCTTCTTAAGCAACACTTCTTCAAGACTTGGTAAATCTCAACATCAGATAATAAACTTAATTCGTGATATTTAAACATTGTGTCTTTGCATCAATTATAACTCCCACTCACCGATGCCACACATTTTATCGACAAACGTGGGCACGAGAATAGGTTTGTATACATTGCTGTTATCTGCGATTCGGTGTAAACAACGTTTTAACGCATGTGTCCTCGCGCACTGTCTCCTAGCGCCGCATCAACTTGCTGCATGCTGCAAATTACATTTTGCAACAAAAAGTCGCCTGCTTGGTGCATAAACATTAGTATATTCAAATTAATAAAATTGGTTTGAATTGTTTGTGCGTGAAAGCGTCACAAACAAATAAACTCATATCTATATATGAATTATTATGTATTTTGCTATAATTCCAAATTATATAAACATAAAATTGCTATTAAATGATAAATAAAAACTACGATATTGCAGAAATGGCATTTGGTATTGTATTCTTTGAACTGAACCATAATTAACGACACTATATTATTTATTTTCTGTTGCGTTTGAATTATGATGCAGTTTCACAACTTTGGATTTTAGTATTTTGTATTGCATCGTTATTTGTATTCATGTCAATAGGTTTATTAGGTACTGAAACTACAAGCCTTTTTCTATTTTCACCCCCAAATATATATTTTTAATAATGATGATATGCAACAAATCAAACTGATAAAAACTCATACTCATATCAAGAAATTATGTTTAATTAATTAGTTCATATATGCTTTATTATTTAATTAGGTTTTATTATTAAATTATTATAAAAAATATTATTAAATTATAATTATTACATTTCTAGCAGTCTCAAAGTATTATGTTAAAATTAATATTTACAGAGTTGTTCATTCTCTAATAATATTATGAAAAAATTATTGACATGTCACTTTGTTTTGGTTTCTCTTCAACATAGCCAGCGTTAACAACGCCATTTGGATTATTCACTGTTCCACCTAAACGATGATGTAAACCACTTTCCACATTCCTATTTTCTAAATTTGATGGGCTACCAATATGACTATTTATATTTTCAGTCACATCAATGGGTTTGCTTGTTGCCTTGTCGCCTACTGGTTTTTTTGAACTGCCACCACCAAAAATTAATTTTTCAATGATTATAACTGAGATTCAAAACGCCAAAGTCCATACAACGCTGATTGCAAATACTAGAGCAAAAATGGACCAGAATTCATACATCTATAACAAATTAAATTGTGATTAGTAAATTAAAGCTATTTGACAATAAATGGCGGTACTTACAATTTGTGCGTTTGAGAACAGTAGTGGCTGTTTGATTGACATAACCAAAGCCATAAGGACAGTGAAATGTATTAGGTACATCGAATAGGTAAGACGTGCCAATACTTGGAATACCCTCGATGATAAAAACGCATTTATAGGACCTAAAAAAATAATATAATATACAAAGCGTTTCAAATTGTGTACATAAATCCCTACTAATATTATATAAATTGAAAGTCCTGATGTTTGTTAAACTTTCACGCAAAACTACTTAACCGATCATCATGATAATTTGTACACATATTCTTAGTGGTCCCCGAATGGTTATAGGCTACTTTATATTTAATAAAAAAAATATTTTTAAAATAAAATAAAGAAATTGTTTAGCCAATAATACCTCTGCATCTGGCTATTTGACTACTTTAACGCCATCTAGCAATTCCAGCAATGAAGCTCAAACCTAAGTACTATAGTACCATCACACTGTATTATCACACTGTATTACCGACAGCTACGTCAACATCAAATCCAATTGACTACACTATGGAGACTGTACACTATACTTCCATAGACTATACTTTCAGCCATTTTAAACTTCCCGCCATTCTACTTCATTGTTACTTCTTCTGTGACTACAGACGCGTACGGAAGCAACTTCATTGATTTCTAATATTTATTTGATAGATTCAACGCGAGCGAAGCCGCGGGATAAAGCTAGTTTTTATATAAAATTGTCTCAAAATCGTATTTCTATAATACTACTTTAAGTATCAAGTGGCTAAAAGTGTGTTTTACTCAGGAGATTGATTAAGTGCGACCGTAGCAAGCGTTCAATCAATCGAGTGAATAATAACCTTTGGCCACATGATGCATAACCTATTTTTCCTACTTCCACTCTAAAAATATCTTAAATCATTGTGAAAATGAAAGCAAAACAACTAAATTTTGACAACATCAACATACCAATCAACCCCTTAATACCCATACCCATATCCACCCCTTCCGGGTCATATAAGCACATCTCCACTACAACTATCCGAGGAGATTCTGCGGGAGTAGTCAGTGATAATAATCTGCTTTACGTGTTCATGTTTGGGTTGTATGCGTGCCGCTGCATTTCTCTTGATGAATATTAATTGCTGGATTTAATAAGTTTAACGTGAAATTTACCAATCCTGAAATTTACCAATATGCAAAATTGTTGACATTTGTTACAGTTTAAATATAATTTTATTTTCACAAATATAAATCAATTACAAATTAATTACAAAACTTGTATTATTTTATTATTCAGTTAAATATCAATTTTATAATGCCCCCAGGCTAAACTAGATATATTATCATTTTGAACACAACGCTTATCATCTTTATCACTTAAACATAACTTATATTGTACATTAGTATAAATTGTGTGTGAAGAATTATTAAACACATATTGTTTTACATTTAATGATGTTTTATCAAACAAACAGTTTACATAATCAATGAATTTAATTCTATTCTGCACAATGCATTTCTTTGTGCCCTTCGCTCTTTTAGTAATAGTATCATCCACTAGCTTATGGCTATAACATTTTGATTTTAATCCAACGAAAGTATTCATTACTCGACCTCCATATTCATCTTTAAAAAAGCCTAAAACTGCTTTATTTTGCGGTGTAATATTATATAAATTGTTTTGTGGATAATTTGAAGTATCAAAATATTGCGGATTATTTAATATAATATTGTAAATGCTGTGATCGTAACACAATACGGTTAAGCTGTCCGTGTCTATGTATAATAATTTTGATTTTTCTTTAGGATAGTAATTTTTAATAAAAGAGTAATAAAAATCGTACATTTTTGTTTTGGATATTTCTAGTATTGCAAATCCAATAAATAATGGTTTATCATAATAGACACACGTTTGATTAAGTTGTATTGCAACTAGATTTTCATCAAATACGCTACAACTATGAAAGTTCGGTTTGCTAATCAGTGAGCGTGCGTCATAGTTTTTACCGCTTTGATTCCAAGTTTTAATCAATTTTACACATAATCTTTTAAATAAATTTTCCATCGTTTTTCCGAAAATGGAATTAACCATTAACTTGTAAAATTCCTTTTCAAAGCTGTTAGTTGCTGCTTGCCTTAGTTTTGTGTTTAAGTCAATGTACAGTTTTAACCAATCTTTTTGACGAAATTGTATTGCTCGGTTAATTTTTCTTAACACCAAACCGTATTTGATAGCTTGTTTTAAGTTAGTATAATGCAAAACATAGTTGCGTTTATCATAAAGAGTAGTAAGCAATTTCGATTGTTTGGAACCAGGTGGTTGTAAATTTTCTGGTAGGAAAGGTAAATCATTGTGATCATCATGCAGCACAGCAGGATAATCAATGTCTACATCTAAAATATAGCCAATATCTGCATTATCTGCTACTGAGCAAATATCTAACTCACTACAATCTGTTACCCATTCAAAATCACTAATAGGTAAAAACTGCGACATTGCCCAACCATAAAGATTACAAGCATCTAAATAACATAAATATGAAGTTGGCTTTGAAGGATCGAATGTTGTAGAAAATTCATTATTTGATTCAGCGTAGCGATGTGAACATTGACTTATACCACCACGAACACTGTTCTGTAAAAAGTTTAACATAGTATGATCAGTTAATAATTCAATTTCGACTTTTGTTACTTTAAGCATTGCATCGAAGGAGAGACCTGGCGCGGTATAGTAGTGAGCTGGATCTAACTGATATGTTTTGAAACAAGTCGATCTAAAATTTTCAAATATATCGGCAAGCAACAAAACATCAACTTTTAAATATAAATCTGAATACTCCCGAAGGGTTTTGCAATGAAATAATTTCCAAACTTTTTGAGCATGTTCATAATCATTTACAGTAATTTTTGAATCATTAAGTTTGCTATTAAACTGTTCAATACTTGGTAACTGTAGTTCTTCTAGCTTTTCCCATGTATCCATATATTCATATGGAAATATTCCCTTCTTTTTCATTATTTTATTTTCTTCAGGGTTAGTAAAATACTTTTCAATATGCTTAAAATTGGTTAAATTTTGAGCCAACTTATTTATAGATGATGACATAAACTGATAGGAATCTGAAAATCGTAATTTTATATAAATATTCTTATTCTCTTTATCAGAATCAACTAAAATATGTTTGGTGAAAGAAATGTATTTTTCTTTATTGCGGGGTAAAACATCGACTTTAGCATCATCGTTCAACGCCAACTCTTTTATGAACAAATGAGAATCGTATCCGGTGAGATTGTGAAAAAATATTGGTATGAATTTAGGAATTTTATAATTTAAATTGCATTTGACATGTGCTGCTCCCCGATATAAGCCTGTAATATGGCAATGATCCATTACCTTGTAGTCAATGTCCGAAAATTTTTCTTCGCAAATATGGCAAGCCTCCGCAAACATATACTGCAAAGCTTCAAACCCCGTTGGCTCAATAATAGGCTTTACATTTTTATAATAATTGTTATAAATATTGCGTACATCTTTGCTTAAATATTCTATAAATTTAGTTACACAATCTTTTCCCGTGTATGTGACATAAGAATTTAATTCATCATTAAAATCGCAAACTATATAATATCCAAAGGAATAAGGAATATGCTGTGCGATTCTCATAGTAAATGAAATATTTGTTTGATCAGGAGTGCACGTGCTTATTGGTACTTGCAGAGATTCGAAATCAGCAAAGATTACAAATGGAACTTTCATTTTATTTTGATAATTGTTGAATATTAATTTGTTTCTTGGAATTTTTTTACCTATATATGAAGTTTTATAACAAGTAGGATCTGGCATTTTCAAACAAATTTTACTGCAACCGTAGTTATAATGATCGTCTAGCTTAAACTGTTCGTTAAAATACTGTAAACATCCGTCGCAAAAATATTTCATACTTTTATGAGAATTTATTTGCGAACTAACTAGACGGGATAGGTTTTTAATTAGTACATAGTGATATTTATCCCGCTGTTCCAATAATAATAAATTTATATGATTCTCTCGTTTTTGATTTGTATAATAAAGCGGCCCAACAACAGAATATTTATTAGCACTTGCATCGAAATTTAAACCATAAACATTAATACTAATATCATTGTTGTCCTCAACTTTGTTAATATCACTTATTGAACAAGGTAACTTAATATTTTCCAAATTTATCTTGTGAATATGATTTGCATAAGATTCTGGGCGAGCAGAACTTTGATGAGCGGGATATAATGCTGCAACAATGCACCAAGCTATGCATATATTATCGTTATTAACAATATTTATGCACGCTTTTTTATCTCTAATTTCTTTTGGTAGCGGTAAATATGTTCCTCCACGGATAGGATCATATTTGTTAATATTAATAATTAAATGAGAAACAGAATGCAGAGCCCAACCACTGTCACGCTCTTGAAATTCTTCTGCCTTTTTTATCAATGTTTGAAACAAATCGTCAACTATTTGTTCTAAATTACTTCCACTTGTAATCACTTCAAACTTTGTGTTAAATGATTTTAAGTCCAATTGAATGTTCTCATCATCATCTTCTTCCAGTGCACTAGCAAAAGGTTTCACATAATATGCAAAGACTTCGAAGTTAACTTTGAACGAGTTTGATTTGCCTACTTTTTTTCGAATTAGTTCGAAGCACGTTGATTTATTATTATTTAAAAAAATACTTATATCCATCGCAATGTTTCGATGGGTGCTAATTCGATATACCGCAATCCGACGATTAAATGCTGATTTAATCAATTCCACAGATGTTTTACATAAAGATCCCTCACGCTCGATGTGCTTTTTTGATTTTGTATGCGCAATATATTTTGCGTTTGTTGAAAATTGCATTTTACATTGATGGCACGTAAAAACTTTAAGATCTGCACACTGCCGAATTTTTTTTACTGCTCGCTCATCTGCATCCACATTACGTTTCAGTAATTGTGATGATTGCGTCACTTCTTTTTCTGTTGCACTCATTGTTGTTGTTGTTGTTGTTGGAGTTGTTGTTGTTGTTGTTGTTGTTGTTGTTGTTGTTGTTGTTGTTGTTATTGTTGCTTCTTGTCGCTGCGATGCTTCATAAACTTCTTCATGTTGCGTAGTCACCATTTCAACATCAGTATTGTTTGATGGTTGATCCACAACTGGATGTTTTAGAAATATATGACGCTTTAAATTATCTCTCCGCGTATACTTTACATCACAGTAGTTGCATTTAAATATGTTTGATTTTGCTTGCAAATGACGCGTTAATGCATCTTTTCGACTAAATGATTTTGAACACGTATCACACTTAAACATTTTGAGGTAGATATAACTTTTTCAAACCAATTATGTTCAGTACTGATCGACAGCCTGCTACCGTAAACAACGCCGATTAGAGACGCACTGGAAGCTATATGAATTAAAAACTCATGAGTAGTTTTTTACGGAAATTGTGGTAAGTAGCAGCAGTCTTTATTTCAAGGCTTTATTGTAGATTGCAATGTTATATATCTTACATCTAAAATATAAAAATATGTAATGTACTTAATTAAAGCAAAAAAAATGGCTGCAATGCGAGAAAAATCCAATTCCAGCACCGAACATGTGGAACATCTCTCAGAATGCATAGTCCGACGCGGTTTGACAGCATATCCGTCGTACACTCAGATTCAACAACGTATAATTTCATACAAGAATTGGCCAATTGCTTTAAAGCAACGCCCTTATGAGTTAGCTAACGCTGGATTTTTTTATTCTGGAATTGGAGATCAAACGATCTGTTTTTCTTGTGGTGGTGGAATAAAAGCTTGGGAAGAAAATGACGATCCATGGAGTGAGCATGCATGCTGGTTTCCAACCTGCTCATTTGTTCGATTACATAAGAGTTCGGAATTTATTCAAATGCAAAAAAATAGAACAAGTAATTCTATTACAAATTTAACTCAGTCACTACAATCGCTAACTACAAACGATGAAGCAGATAAACAATTTTCAATCAGCGTTACCAACAACTGCAAAATTTGTTTAAACAGCGAAATTGCTTTAGCATTTTTACCGTGTGGTCACGCATTTTCATGTGTTGACTGCGCACACTCTTTTATCAAATGTGCGGTATGCAGACAGGAAATTGAAGCAAGTGTTAAAATTTTTATTTCGTAATATCAATAAAAGTCAAATAATATTTATAATTCAGTTTATTACTCAATAAATACATAATTTTACATAAAAATGCATTATTTTGTGGAACCCAAGAATTGTTTACATTGTGCACAATAGTGATTTGTGGTCTTGCATGAGTCACAAAAGTATGGTATGCATGCACATGGAACAAACGCTAAACATAATAAAATTGCAGCAACGTGTGTTTTAAACGATATTTCCGTTTTGGTTGTAGTTGTTCTATTTTTTACTCCACAAAATGGACACATTTGATATAATTGAGGCTTTGATTGCCAACAACGTATTTCTGTATGCGATGACATGTTATTTACTACTAAGGATGAGGAAATAAATGTAGGGAGTTTTAATTAGAAACTTCACCAAATAAATTGAAAAAATGTGTTTATTATTTTGAACATAGTCATGTAATAATTTTACATTATGTTTACTGCACATTATATAACGAATTTTAAGTTTATTGTGATAAAAACATGATGAGTTTAATTGCTTCTCAAACTTCGGACAGTTAGCCATAAATTCTATGTTAATGATATTATCATAATAAGTTTTTAAAAAATCCATTTTCTGTGCTCCTTTGACAATAACTAGGCTTGCCGAATGTTGTGCAAAAATGTGCGGTAGATCCGTGTATTTAACATAGCCACTATTGTATGATATCCCATGATGATTGTTCTCAAGCCAACGAATTGTATGCTGCGTCTTTCGATCTAAACATGTATAGAGCTCTTTAGGCAAAATTAAGTAGTTGTAGATTGCTTGACCATCATAAGAGAACGATAGCTCTTTTGGTGTAAATGCTGGTATGTTAAAACATTGCATATCAATGTACAGCACAGCATTTGATTTGGTTGCGTTCGGTGTCGTCGACAAATTGTGGGACTTTTTTATGCAGTTTTGAAACATTATATTAGTTTGCGCACTATTCCCGTTAAAGGTGTATACTCGACAACGGCATCAAACAAAATGAGGCAATACGCTTTTGTGTTGGAAGGAAATGCATTCTTTGATTCCATTTCAATTTGCAAGTCAATCGTTGAAGATTTTACGCTTTCGTTTTGTTTAGTTACATCAAATACGTAAAGCGCATGATCTTTAAAGGTATCATAAGTTAATTCGGGTGCAGCAGATTTATATTCAATGTTATAATAACTTGGTAGAAAATTTATAAACTGATTATAAGCCATAACGTAATTATTATTATCAAAATCTAATTGCATATTATCATAAGGGTAAGAAGTAGAATTTAAGAAAACCCTAATATTTCTAATATCGCAATGGTCAAATTTTGTAACGTCCTCTGCATGATTATTTTTCTTATTGGTTTGGAAGCAGACAATGACGTAACGCGGTCTTTCGAGAGATGTAGATGTTTTTACCGACCAAATATCCTTATCAGTATTTTTTAAAGCTGGCAACTCGTGCAGTTCCCATTTGCGAAACGGCATCAGTAGAGGCTTATCCGCTTTAAGTACGCTAAGGAAATGAACGCGCGATGAATCATTGAGCTCAATATGCGGCATATGCCACTCAACCTTGGTTAGGTTCAGCTGAACGTTATCCGAACCGACGTAACAATTCTTATCGGTGCTTGACCTCAATAGTATTAGCTCTTGTCTAGCATTAATTATAATTTTGCGGTAGTCTTCAGCAAAACCAAACAATCTATTTAACGGTAACTGTGCATAAAATCTCAACTTTTCTTTGTTAAATAAACTTAAATTCCCGGATTCTTGCCAACCAAATAGAATATTGTTATGATTATTAGATTTGCAAGAGAGAAAGTTTTTAATCGTTGTAGTAGTTCCGACGTCTTGATTTCTGTCAATTTCTACACCGTTTATTTCGTATCTAGCTTCTTGAAAAAGGTAACTAAATGCATTACGTGTTAAATTTACTTCTGGTTTAGGTTGTCCCTGTTCTGCCTTTGGTAAAATTACTTCTCCTTCTATCAATATGTAACTTTCACATGGCTTTGTATATTGATCTTGTTGTTGAATTAAAATACGTATTTCATCGTTCTTCTTAAAATTATTAGTTCTTGGTTGATATGTATGATATTGTTCTTTGGTAATAGTGTCATCGGTACTGACTTTTTCCAAAATATTTAGTTCGTTATTCATATTTATTCGACGTCTCTATTTTCGCAAAGTATACCCTAAGGATGTTAATATATTGCGGTTTAACAAACTTAGATCTTGAAATTTCAATCCGCACTCCTTAACAGCTCGTTTGCAACTGACTCTCTTTTTATTATTTGTTTTAGTCTTTATACCAGTTTTATCCTTCGGCACGAATATGTTTCCTCCATGGTAATTATTATTGTAAATTATTCCCATATTCTTCAGTTTTAACTATTCAACTACTATTTCTGAGCTCTAAACGAATTACAATCTTTTCACCTCTAAAATTGACCGGATGACCGTCTTGATCGATGAGTTTAAGTGTAATATTACTAATTGCGGTTGTATTTACACCTAAATATATATGATTTCTAGGCTCAATATTTATAGCATAACCAGGATCAACTTGCGGTGAGAATTCAAATAATGTATGCGATTCTTCATTATCATAATACGAACCTTTTACAATATTACATTCCACTCGAATGCTTGTAACTTTTATAATATTCACAGGTAAATCAGAAAAATGCCATTTATTTGCTTGCAAAATATTTTTACCAGAAAAACCAAGAATATTGCCAATTGATTCAGGTTGAGAAAAATCAACGTTGTATTTACATTTTAATTCTGTTTGAATAGTGTTGTTATTAGCTTTGAGCTTAAAATAATCATCTTCTTTTTTTAATGAGTGTAATTCGCTCAACTTTTGTTTAAGATACTTTTCAATATCGTTAATTTCGTACGCTCCAGTGGGAATAGTAATTACCTTATCATTATCGTAATGAAATTTATTGGTGCCTTCATCTATATTAGGGATTGTGTTGTACGTATATAAACCAACCAAGGCAATTTTGTAGTCTTTGTTAGAAATATCGATAGGAGGATAAAAATATGTCTGCAAAACATTGCTATTCCCTTGTAGTGTAAATGTAATAGACATTTTTAAATCTGGTTATTATTTAGTAATAAGAATTGCAAGCATAAATGTCCACAATTAACAGAATTAAATGTTTGATATCTACTATAATTGTAATATATTTTACACTTTTTGAAATAACGTTGTAATTCTAGCGGTGGTTGTAGATTACCAAAACTATCAAAATAATTAACAATATTTCGTTTTTTCTTGTATGCTACCCAATGCGTACCGTCTGATTTAACTGAGTCTAAATTCACAACTCCACTCTCTATATTCAATGCTCGTTTAGGTAATGTATCGCGCATGAAAACACCTCGAAAATGAGCTATATGTTTTTGTCCGAAATTATTTATATCGGTATCGCTTAATGGCTTTGCTTTAGGTAGCTTACTTAGTAGTTTTTTGTCTCAGTGCTTTTAGATAGATATAATCCATAACCTTTTTTATACGGTTTAAGATATAATCCCGATCCTGTTTTACCAATTGCAATAGCTTCCATTGTTTTATTGTGACGATTTGTTTCGGCTAAAGTTTTTTGTGCATTTTTCGCATCAGTTACCGCTTTCGCTACACCAGCAGCACCCCCTGCAAGTGCACCTAAAGCACTAAGTCCCGCAAAAATTGGGATTAATGGTAAAAGACCTCCGTACTTAGGTACAGGTATTATACGGGGTTGTTTTATATTCCGTTTCCCACCTACATCCCGAACTGCCGCTTTAGCTGCAGATAAAGCAATGTTGCTTCCTTCGATCAGATTTGTAGGTGCATGCTCTTTAAGTTTTGGCTTTACCTTACTCAAAACTGCTTTATTTAGCGAGACTTCTTTTCCTTGTTTTTTCTTACTTTTACGTCTTTTTAGTCCCATGCCTAACTTGCGCTTTAATTTCATTGCTGTCGTAACTGCCCAAGCTGCCGCTTTTTCACCAAATTTTGAATCTTTGGCTTTGACACGTTTCCAAGCGGCTTCTTCAAGTATTTTATCGGCTTTATGTCTCTCTTGGAGAGATTTATGCTTGGAATAAGCTATATCATGTACTTTGCATGCTGAGTCTAAACTATTTACTCCAGGATCTCCACGTTTTAAACGTTTTTCCAAATCAGTACCTGGACCACAAAACTGGTAACCTGGTAGATGTGTTTCAAACGGAAGATGGTTAATAACTGAATTCACGATTCCTCTACCCTTTTTCTTTAAAGGACGTCTTGTCTTCTTACTCATTACTTATTTACTGCTAAAAATTGAAATATATATAAGTATATATAAGGAGGTTGGTGATATTTATAACTATACCTACCATTAATCAAGTAACCATGAAAGTGGTAAAACATAAAGTAAAAATGCCAATTGTAAACCTAGATACCGTTATTAGTGCTAAACATGTACCAAATAAGCATGGAATATTATTACCTAATTCAATACGCTGTCTAATTTGCGGACCATCAAACTGTGGTAAATCGAACGTAATGCTTACACTTCTATTTGATAAAAATGGACTTGAGTTTGAAAACGTGTACATTTACTCAAAGTCCTTATATCAACCAAAATATAAGTATCTGGAAGAAGTGTTGCAAAAGCTGAAAGGAATTAAGTACTATCCATTTAAAGAGAATAACGATATAATTGATGTGGAAAAAGCGAGAAATAATTCAGTATTCATATTCGATGATATAGCTTGTTCCAAACAAGACAAAATACGAGAATATTTCAGTATGGGTAGACATAATGGTATCGATTCTTTCTATTTATGTCAAACGTATTCACGTATTCCGAAACAATTAATTAGAGATAATGCAAATTTTATTATATTGTTTAAACAAGATGATTTGAATTTAAAGCATGTTTATAATGATCATGTTGGTAGTGATATGACGTTTGAACAATTTAAAAATATTTGCAGTTTCTGTTGGCAAAATAACTATAACTTTTTGGTTATAGACAAAGATAGTGATATTTACGAAGGTAGATATAGAAAGAATCTTGATAATATAATAAAGAAACTTTAAGTAGTTTACATCATTCCTATCATAAGCATTCAGCCAGAAACAACAACAACAACAACAACAACAACAACAACAACAACATGCCACAAGATATTCTTGAGCAAAAGAAACAAATAATCAAACTTCGAAAAAATATCAGAGCAAAACTGATGGCTTTAAAACTAAACAAATCGGAGAGTGATAGAAATTTTAAGGAAACTTATAGTCCGTTAATAAATCCAATAAACACATTGATTCAAAAGGTAAATAAAAAGGAACCATTTGGCGAAAATATTATTGCATCAAATCAAGAGGTAAAAGGAATAAAGTATGAGGAAAAAAAAGTAAAAACGAAGGAACCAGTGATAACATCTGAGAGTGATGACGATGAATTTGAAGAAACATATGAAAATGTAGAAGATTCTTCTCAACCTCTTGAAAAAGCTGCAGACGATTTAAACGAACATATTAATAAAACCATAAACTCTAAATATAATAGTGCTTATGATCATGTATTTGGCATTAGTTACAACCCTAATACAAAGCAGTTATTACTAGGACCAGAAGTAATTGAAATACAAGGTAAAAATCTAATTTTGAACGGTAAACAGTTTGAAGGAACACCAGGCTTGTATAATTTACTATTCTTAAAAGATCCAAAACACTTTACTAAAAATGATAATTTGAATTATATTGCAATGTTAAAGCTGAGTAAAGTAATCTATCTAAACAATGATCCGTCTCAACGTATAAAAGGAAATTCATCGAAAAAGTATATCGAAATTATTAAGCCATACTTTATCGATAAAACTGGTAAAGGAATGAATTTATTAACTGTTACAAATAAGCCCTATAGAGCAATTTATTGGGACAATGTTAATGAACTCGTAGATAGATTAGCATTGTTGCATGCATCGAAAAACGCAGGCAATAATTCTGTGCATAACGAAATCATTGCCATAGAGGAGGAACTTAGAGAAGCTGGAATTATTTACTAGTTATGGCAAATGTAAAGAGTGTTAGTTTTAGTAAATTACTGACTTTTTATTATTATACTACAGTAGATTTAGAAAAACAACTTGATTACATGCAACTAGCAAGAGATCGGATTCGTTTTAAAAATCGTATAAATAGATTGAAATCAATTTTAGAACCAGTTTTAATGGGAAAAATAGAAAAGACAACATATCATGAATGTTAATAAATTCGGACAAACAAAATTGGCTGCGGCTAAAAATTTTAACAGTAGTTTACGTGGACCTCCTGGTGTGGGTTTCAAATTAACCCAAGATGGTAATTATGACGTTGACAATAAACGTATTCTAAACATTGAACAATTGCCCATCGCAAAGAATGAAGTTGCTTCAAAATTATACGTAGATTTACTTATTGATTCTTTGAAAAAGGAATGGATTAATTTAGAAAACCATATAAAAGACCATTTTGGAAAATTTGAAAACTCGATAAATGAAGACTTAAAAAATTTTGATACTAAATATAACTCATTAATTCAAAGTATTCAAGATACTGTTGTTAAAAGTGTAAACGAATTACAACTTAAATTTAGTAATCTGGAATTCACTTATACACAAGAATTATTTGCACTTAGAAAAACATATGCTGATTCATATAATATTATACAAAGTAGGTTAGAAAGAAATACAAATACATTTGCAGCATTAAAAACGAAATTGAGTTCAACAGAAGAGGTTGTAACAGATTTATCACTGCGTGTTGATAAATTCATGTCTAATATTAACAGTCGCCTGGTAGCAAGTAATATTCAACCAATTCCAATCTTTCATAAAGCGACAAACTAATTAAACAAATGAAAAAACAATCGCTAATAACATCTAGCGATCGAAAAAATCCTCGCGAAGATGTAATAAGAGAATTACATAAGCCAGCGAGAAGGTTTTATAAGCGGCGAAGAACCATTTTAAAAGGTATTGATGATTTATGGCAAGCAGATTTAGCGGACTTTCAAAAATTCTGTACTGTAAACAAAGGCTATAAATTTATATTAGTGATTATTGATTGCTTCTCAAAATTTGTTTGGACTGTTGCATTAAAAGATAAAACTAGCACAAGTATCGCCAATGCATTTGAACATTTATTCGCCAAAATAACCAATCGTAGACCTAGAAATTTGCAGACGGATAATGGTAAAGAATTTTACAATAAACAGTTTCAAAAAATTATGAAAGTAAATGATATTAATCATTATTCTACTTATACTAGCCTTAAAGCAACAATTGTTGAACGTGTTATTCGAACATTGAAGTTACTTTTATCTAAAGAATTTACTCGTAATGGTAATACAAAATGGATTGCAATATTGCAACATATAACCGAAATGTATAATAATCAAAAGCATCGAACAATTCATATGAAACCTATAGATGTAAAAGGTAAAAAAATTGAGAAGCAATTACTTGATTCAGTATATTCAAATGTAAAAGTGGCTGGTATTGCTAAATATAAAGTAGGAGATATCGTTCGCATCAGTAAGCAAAAAGCTCTCTTTGAAAAAGGTTATACTAGAAATTGGAGTACCGAGTTATTTACAATTAAAAAAATTAAAATCACAAGTCCAGTAACATATTTACTGGAAGATTACCGTGGTCAACCTATTTTGGGTGCATTTTACGAAACTGAATTGCAGAAGGCAAAACATAAAGATATATATTTAGTTGAAAAAGTGTTACGGAAGAAAGGATCAAAAGTATTTGTTAAATGGTTGGGGTTAGATACATCACATAATAGTTGGATAAACAAAAGTGAAATCGTTGTATAATGATAATTTTGGGGCATTTTTTAACTTTAATTTTTTGTGAGAGTATAGCTTATGCGGAGGAAGGAAATAACAGTGTGACCACAGAACTTTTTAAGTTTCTTGTTTGGAACAACTATTTGGATATAAATTCAACAAACATACAAACATTTAATTTGCAAGATGAAAATGTTATCGATGCATTATTAAACTTTCAAGAATTTTATCATCTTCCTGAAGATGGTAAGATAAACAATGAAACGCTTGAAATTTTGAGAAAGCCCCGATGTGGTTTTCCCGACAAAATGGCACAAGATTTTATGTTAGCACCAGCCAAATGGTATCAAGATAACATATCATGGCACTTTATTAACGCACAACAGTATCAATTTGATCTTACACATAAGGCATTTGAAACATGGCAAAATCACTCAAACTATAAATTTAGAAATGAACCCATGTCTAAGAGAGCAAATATTGTAATTGCGTTCAAATCCCTTCAGCACAATTTTTCAAGATGTTGTAATAGAAGAAAATGTGATTACGAATTTGACGGCGTGGGAAATATTCTTGCTCACGCTTATTTCCCATACAAAAAATATAGTCACATCGAAATTCACCTAGATTCGGCTGAAGAATGGGAATATTCAGAAGATGGCAATTTTTATCAAACCTTGTTACATGAAATTGGCCATTCGCTAGGACTTCAACATTCATCAGTGAAAGGCTCAGTCATGTTTCCCTATGCCCAAGTTCGAAATACTACTGACTTATCTCCAGATGATATTCATGCAATACAAAGCCGTTACGTATTTCCACAAAGAATATCACAAACACCAACTAGCTCAACTAGTACAACCACTACAACCAGCACCACAAAGAAATCAACAACCACAACAAGAACAACAATTAAACCAACAACCATCTCTATTTCGGTTAATACAGATTCTAGAGCAACAAAAGTAACAACGTCTAAAAATTCTGACATATGTTATTATGAAAAAGATCTGAAGATGTTCTTGTTTGTAAATGGAAAGTTTTATATTTTCCATAAAGACCTAGTGTGGATGAGAAATGTTAGAGATTCCGTGCTTCATGAACCAGAATTAATATCAAATTGGTTAACATTTATTCCAAACAACCAAACGAATTTAGAAATTATAGCTATTTATCAACAAACTACAACCGAAGTGGTTATACTATTGAATAGCACAGTTTATGTTCTTATGATACCATCATTGAAATTTGCACATGCACCCGTAAATATTTATAAATTTTACCCTGAATTGCCGCAGCAGGCAAAAATTAATACTATGTTCAGCTCATATATGGGTCATATTTATATTATTTATAATGATGTTCATGTAGGTAAAATTAATTCATGTTCCAAGTATTTTGAATATTTAGGTTTAATTAGCGATCATTTTCCTGGCATTCCAGCTAAGATAGATGGCGCGTACAGTTATATAGACGGAAATCTGTATTTTTTAGCTAACCAATTTATATATGTTTATAATGAGTTTTTACAAACTATAATAGAAACTAAACCAAGAAATGCCAGGTCATTTGGTATTGAGTGTCCGAATAGACCACTACTTGAGCAGTTAAAATTACTTTTAAATCAAATACTGTTTAAACAAATTCGGCTATAAACATCATGTGGATATCTCCAGTGGTGCTAATCGCTTCGGAAGTTTTTGTTTTGTCTAATATTTTAGACTACAATTTATTTGTATCAACACCTGCTAATACAACTGAATGCTACATTGCTTTGGATTTCAATAATACCTTTGATAATGCATGGCCAGAAAAATGGACCCGTATGATTTTACACGAAAATGAGACAACTGGAATAAAATGTTCGATTGATCTCTCGCAAGAGTTGTCATCACCTCCAGAAGTAATGAATTTTATGGTAAGATTTTGGACTGGAGATGAACGTATGCTTGGAACAGAAAATTGGCAAGCAATTTTATGGTCAACTTATAACAATAGCAAGCAAGAAAACAACAACGTTGAAGATAACTATACAAGCAACAAAACAACTTCAAATATACATGAATATAACAAGACAACTAACAAGATAAGCAATGAAACAACGGAAAATAACGAAACAACTAACACAAGCAATGAATCAACTGAAAATCAACTAAGCAAACAAGAGAGTAATGATACATTATGCCCTAAACTTGAAACAAAAATCAATTATTTAATAATTGCGTTTATTATAGCAACTATATTTTTTATAGTACATATTACGTATACCTACTATGTGCGCTCGATGTAAACATATAATAGTTAAATAATAAATAATAAATTAAATTTTCATATATTTTTTATTTAATCTTTGCATACATATTTAAATCAATAAACATTACTAGACCTTAACCGGCGTTAAAACATTTACTCTAATTTATTTTAAAATAACATTTTAGCATTTCTTATCTTCATAGCCACAGTGCTCAAGTATTATATCAGAATAAAAGTTTACGATTTCATGCATTATTTCCGTAGTTTCAAAGTAGCAGTAATAAGACTTTAATTCGTCTTCATCTTGCAACGATAAATTTTCCACTAGCTGAGGTTGTAATGCTGGTAGTAGGATATCTTTTATCGGATCTTCATTCTTGCGAATTAACTTCTGCTGCGAAATGTATTCCAAACAGTTATTATAATATTGAAAGAATTTCAGTTGCTTCAGACGTTCCAGTCGAAATGAAATTAGAGTATTCAAATTTAGCAATGCTAGCATATCTTGCTTCTCAAATGTTATGCTCAATCCATCCTTTTCTAGTATAACCATTTTTTTTCCAGTGCATTGTTTTTTAGCAAGTATTATTTTGAAGCCATTACAAACGTTGATAATACGCACTTCCACACCGTTGTTAGTTTTCTCAAATTTAACTTCTGCGGTTGTTACTTCCTCAGTTGCCACTTTTCCATTTGCAGCACAATTGCAATAACGACATTTCTCTGGAAGAATTTTTACATCACTAATGATGTCAATTTGCCGCCGTCGTCGTTTCTTAAGGTAGCTCTTGATGTCTTCATTGTACTTTATTAATGCACTCCATTCAGCGGGTTGAAGAACTTGCTGAACTTGATTTTTTTCATGTCTTATGATAAGACCAGGAAAAAAACCAATAGTCGTAAGAAATCCAAGTAGCACTTTTAATTTAGAATTAATGTGATAAGTTACAGCATTTACTGCAGATGCAGCAGACTTTGAATTAGTTTCACACATTTTTTTCGCTAACAACTGATCACCATAAAAGATATTTGTCAACTAAAATATTCAATTTATAACTTTTACTTTTATTGCATTTTTGCTTACCTACGTCTAAATATGTAAAACAATATTTGTTTAAAACTGAAATGCATACTATCTATACAATCAAACAACACAAGTTTTGAGGATGACTAACGCCGCCTTGAAAACAATGGTATTTCTTGTTTTGCGTGGGTTCACTATAAATTATAACTTACTTTATTCAAATTATAGTTTCAATTTTTACTTGAAAGTTGATAAAATGCTTTACCGCAAAACTAATTAATATTAACATTTTTACCGCAAAACCGTTAATATTTGTATGAGATTATATTTTCATTTCAAGTCAAATCAAAAACCAATATTACAATGAGCAATTTTTCTTATCTAACCCAATGTTTCCGTTCTTGTAATTAGTTATTCATTTGACATTGTTCAGTTACTGTTCAGTTGCAGTTCAGAATTTACTTGAAACAGACGTAAAGTAAAATTTAATAATCAAGCAAAAATGTCGCAAGTTACTCCTGTAAACCAAATAATAAAAAACAAACGTAAATTAATTTTCGATAGTGATAGTGATGGAGAATTTGAAAAGTCATTACAATGTAATGAAAAAATTTTTGAATATCCATCAACATCATTCCATCAGGTTGAGAAGAAGAAACTCCGCCTGAAGAAGAAGATGGATACTAAAAACAGCAATATCGACGAGGAGAAGAATGAGCAATCATTAAAGAAAAAAAATGTGCAAGAAAAGAAAACTAACGAAGAGAATGATAATCATGATGATGATGACGACGACGACGACGACGTCGACTTCGATGAGGAGCTGACGGAGATGGTTGAGGATTATACGAGAGTTGAAAACAATATGAAGGAATATAGTTTGGATGAATTGAATCGCATTGGTAAGATGACGTCGTTTCAAAAAATTATTCCATTGGCGAAATTTCCTCAAAATAAGTTAATTAATGTTGATGGATGGAAATTCGTTCACACCCAGTATGGAAAGAAGTTGGTAATTGTAATAAACAAAGGAAAAGCAATATCATTCCTTCCAGAACGATTTAACAAAATGTATAACACCGACGAAGATATTGAGCGTTTGAGCTACTCTCAAGTAGCAATTTCATATAAAGGAAAAAAAAATATTGGAAATGGGCGCACATCGCATCAGTTGGAGTTTGTAAAATGGTAATATTATTTTTTTATTTCAACTCAAATAGAACATTCATCTAATTATGATTTTTTTATAGGTAAGCAGTACCAAACACAAGTGGGCAACATATAAAACAATACAAGTTTTGTAATTAATTTGTAATTGATTTATATTTGTGAAAATAAAATTATATTTAAACTGTAACAAATGTCAACAATTTTGCATATTGGTAAATTTCAGGATTGGTTAAATTTCAGGCACCAATTCACTTGAGTTTTGGGTGTGGTCATGGCGTCCTTAAGTCACTTGAGTTTTGGGTGTGGTCATGGCGTCCTTAAGTCACTTGAGTTTTGGGTGGGTCGCTATCAATTATCGTATTACCCAAATTACAGTTTTCTTGCCTTATATTACAGTTTTTCTACCAACATTCCTGATTGTGCAATTACGCTACCTACCAACAACTCGCACGCCATCTATTAACCACTCACCCAACCTAAGCATACATCTCACTCGCACCTCCTACTAGCATTCCTCTCTGTCTAACACATTCACTCTTATCGAGATGAGGGTGGACTCCGGAGGTGGAGGTGGAGGTGGCTCCAGAACCCGCACAAACACACTACTCAAGACTTCCTCTAATACTAGTAGGTGAATAGAATTGAATAAATTCGCATAAGTGTTTCACCAACTCAACCATTTTCAATTATTCATTTCACAACTCGAACCATACGCACTTCCCAAAATGGGTTCGTCCCAGCAAATTAGTGAAAAAACACTACGGCTAAGTGATGATGAAATCCAAGGGAAGGGTAATTTTTTGAAGATAGTGATGACGACGATAGTGTCCAGTTATACATTGTGAAGTATTACAGAAGGGTCATCATCATCATCTTTACAAACCCGCTCCGACCAGCGAAGAAATTTGAGATTGAAAAAGCAACGATCGTCAGTTCAACCACATTCCTAAAAACGAGGATTAAAAGTATTGAAGAGGAAAATACGCAACTCGTAGAAGTGTACGAAAAACTAGAAAGAAAAGTACTACCATATACAGATGATGAACTAAATGGATGTAATAAGCAATTTGTGCGCTTTTCCAAGTAGAAATGTGCCAATTCAATTAACTTTGGAGAAGATGACGACAACTTACGGTGAAAAATGGTTGTTGAAGTTAACAACTCTAACGCCATTATATTTTTACCAGACAGGTATCAATATGCATCAATGCATCAATGAACGTCGATAGGCTCAATTGCACCCAAAGAGCACTGATATATCGTGGGAAGAACACTGTGGGCAACCATATACAATTCTGTCTTAGAATTCACCAGATTCTTCTAAAAGTAAGTTTTCAAAAAAGTTCTCTTTTGTTCGTCATTGTAATATTAATTTTATTGTTTACAGCCATACTACAAAACTCCGTATCTCGCGGATCATCATTCTTATTCAAATAAAAACAATGTATTAAAAAAAATAAAGAATGAAAGTTTAAAAAAAGTTCTCTTTTGTTATATTAATTTTATTGTATTCCTTAAAGCACTACCAGAGCTCTCATATCTCGGATCGTTCTTCTACAATTCAATACAAAACAATGTATAAGAAAAATAAAAGAATGAAAGGGCTGCTTGCTGATTTGCTTGTTTACGTTTGAGGTATTTAAGTACGGTTTTGACATTTTGAGTCCTACTCCAGCAGGATCAAGGAGCATCCTTTCCATCCGCATTACAACTTATGGTGGGATTGGTGACCGATCGCGTCGGATACCTTCTATAATAATTGCTGCTGCTCTACCGGCTCGCTGCTCTGCTGTTAGAGGAGGAGGATTTACTCTATTTGCACGTTGTGGTTTTGGTTTTGGATTGCACTTGTTGTTACTTGTTTAGTTTGATGAAAAATGAATGCAAATGAGCTGGGTGGACGGAAGTGTTGTTTCCGTTTGATTGTGTGTATCTGTATATTTAGTCGCAAAAGCATAATCATTTGAATTTTCTGTTCGCACTACGCACTACAAAAACGTCGTCGTCGTCTTCGTCGTATCAACACTTACATTCAAATTACAGTTCACCACTTACCGACGCGCTACCAAATTACAGTGTTCAACAACAACAATTACCGACTCGCTACTCAAAAACACTTTCGACACTCGCCGCTACGGGCAACGCACACTTTGACATTCGCCGCTAGGTGGCGCTGATGCTGAGGAGGAGGCGGTTTTAGAATCCTCACATTTCTACTAAACACAAAAGCTTATTGCTTCATTTTGTTCGATTCTGTTGTTGAGTACACACCATTAACGGGTATTGTTCGTAAATTAATTAAAGTGTAATGTTAAAAATGCTTCAAAAGTGTCGTGAAAGAAACGCTATCAGTGTACCCGCGTATGTGAATAAACCGCAACGTATTTTATACATTGATATGCAAGGTTTCAACATACCATCACTCAGACCAAAAAAAATATCGTTTACCTATGATGGAACCAACATCTATAACTACCTAATTTTACCTAAAGAAAATTATCACTCTTTGGATGGAAGAATTAAGCAAACAATTCGTTGGACTGAAATCGATCATCATGGCATATCCTTCAACTGCGGATATATTACATATTACGATTTACCAAACATATTTGAATTTAGTTGTTGTAAAAGGAGCACAAAAAATTGATTTTTTAAAAACATATTATAAAAATATTATTAATATAGAATGTAATGTAAATTGTGTTAAGTTTAAAAAACAATTAAATTCTACTTGTTTTTTTCATAATAAACTTAAGATTCCATATAGTTACGTTACTCGCAACCTAGAAAGATAAGAAACCTGCGGACGCTAAGAAAAAGCACTATTTAATGTTGCGCGATGCGCTAGAGCGACACTTGCCATTGAGTGTTTACTTAAGCAATGTCAACCATTTAATTATAATCGTAAATTTTGTACTTATATAAATAAAGTTATAATTTTAATACAAAACCAGTCTTGCAAACGTAACTAACCCGTATTGCAAACGTAACTGGCGCTGCGGAACAGGATAATAAACGGTTTAATTTCGCGAATCGAAATAACCGTCAAACGATATCATTAGTTGGTGATTTTTCAAATCTTTATTGGAACATTTGTGAAAAATCTGAAGATTGATTGAACAGTTGGGACCATTGTCGCATCAAGGCAGAGTGATCAGAGCTTCATTCTTTGGCGTTCATTTCAATCCAAAGGGGAGACAACAATCAGATCTACGATCCTCAGCAGCGGCAGGGGCGACGGAACATCTCACAGCCTACATCACGTCAACTGATCTTGATAAAGGAACTTCTTGTGTAATTACCTATTTTCCATTTCCTGTTTATTATATTATACAAAATACACGTAACGGTTGTTCATGATATGAAATCGTTCGCGATCTCCATTAGAAAGACAACGAAATTGTCTGATTCTGGGACTCATCTATCGATTTAATCGCTTTGAGCCCTTACCGACCGATAGCCAATCCTAATATTTTGGAAATTAAACCTTGCTAAAGAGATCATTCCAACCTATGATTGGAAGTAAAATTCTTACTTTATTGCTTAATGTGAAAAAATTTATTGAAACATATAGAGACCAAACACCCGGTAGAGAAAACGGTAGTTTGAATAAATTGTTATTCGAGCTTTGTTGTTCTAGAATACGCGGTATTGCTAGAGATACCTTAGTAATTAGTAATTGTACAAATTGGACAGATGTTAAAAATACCCTTTATCGTGGTGATCAAAGAAACGAGATTTTATTAACTGATGATCTAACAACTACATTTCAATCATCTAATGAGAGGTACGATCAATTCTATGAAAAAATTAAATTGAAATTACAATGTTTACTCGGCATGTTTACGCTTCACTTGAGCAAGATATACGCGATTATAGGGTCAGAAAATTAAACAGAGAGCACGGCAGGCTTAGAGGAACCATATCGTTCCTATATAGCATTAAAAACGACTAATACTATTGAAGAATGTCTTCTTCAATTACGCGAATATGACAACCTTCCACAACAGATTAACTTCTTAAACTTTATGAGATCAAAAAGCAATCCACAAAAATCACAACCACAGAATCATAAAAACCAGAATCAACAAAATCCATTCAAAGGTTTATTTTCAAGGAACCCTCAATATAATTATCCGGCTAGAACAATGCAGAATTCTAATGACGCTAGCTTTGTTCCTAAGCTGAATCAGCAATCCCAGAATGCTGCGCAAAACTCTTATCAAAATAAGACGCAAAACTATTTCACTGGAAACAATCTTTCTTATAAACCGACACCTATGTCTATCAGTACGAATAACACGTACAAACCCACGCCAATGTCTATCAGCACATCTAATACAAGAAACAGGCCACCATTCCCACAAAACGTGGCAATTCCAAAACCATCAACATCTCATATTCATAATGTCAGCAATATGAATAACCTCGTTAATAATTATACAGGAGAAGAAACTCCAGAACTTTTTGAACAAACTGTCGAGCAAGAATATCTTGACGATGATTACAATTATGAACAAAATGAATTTAATGAAGACCCTGGAAATTTTCAGTTGCAAGCCTCGGAATAAACTTAGATCTTAACTACATTGAAAACAAGATCGAGTTACCTTTTATTATAATATCTTCATTTAACTTGAAAATATCAATATATAGCGGAGCATCAAACTCTATTTTAAACCCAGGTCCAGCACTTGAATATTTTAATAATTTTATTTTTGAAAAATCATTTACCGTAAAAGGACTTCACAGAATGGTTCAAGATAATAAGAACGTTGCATACCCTTTATTGAATGAATTTGGAATTCCTGCAACAATCAATTTTCTAATTGTCGACTGGCACGATACATTTGACGGATTACTTGGAACCAAAGATTTAATGAATCTTGGTGCAAGAATTGATTACAAACAAAACAACTTGAATTTGGAAATATTAAAATACCTTTTATGAATGAACTCAATCCGACTAAATTTAAACATTTCGAACAAAACACTCAAAAATCAATTAAAATTCCTGTAACTATTCAAGAAGGTCCAGTCATTTTACCCGAAATTAATCTGAATAACATTTATATTCCTGAATCAATTTGTGAATCAAAAAATGGCATTTGCGTAATTCCTATTGATTTACAAGAGCCAATGTGTATTAAATTTGAGAAACCAATTAATGTCGAATCCTTAAATTCATTTG